ATACAGCTGGTTCTGGCTGTACCAGTGTTTGCTTGGCGTATTGAACACTAGAGAAGGAACCTCCAAGGTTTGGGCCAAGGAACTTCCAAGGTCTGTGATCTTCTGGGCCCACAGATCAGTCAACTGTGCAGCAGCAGCAAAGGCCCCGGGTTGCTGCAGCAGGTTGGTGTCTGCACTGTCATGCTCAGATGCGGGGCCACTGGACACATGTAGGGGCTTCTATCTCTGGCTCTTACTTCTCAGGAAATGATGTATTTTTAAATAGTATTTTGTTATGCAATGAAGAAAAATCATCAACATTTGCACTTGGGGAACAAGGTGTCAGAACTAAACGCCCGGCCTCTGGATGGCTCACAGCAATAGGAAACGGAGCAGGACGTGGCCGCTGTGCAAACGTATTGATTGGTCTTGGTTGCTCTGCAGTTTGCAAAGAGAGATGGTTCTGCCTGGTGTGTTTCAACGCTTGAGGGAGGGCAGAAGCTTCCAAACCTCAGCTCTGCTCGCCCAGCTCTCTTTAACAGCAAATTCTAACAGCAAAATTAAAATGGCTCCCAGGCTGCAAAGGGTTCCGCGCACAGAGTAATCACACCCCTTTGTGGACGAGTAGCCTCATGCATTTCATAGCAACCGCCACGGTCCAGACGCGTACGATGGCCGGAAGGAGAATGTACGCCTTGGATGCTCTCAGCAGGCTTTATCAGCCTAAACAGGAATAGTTCTCGTTTATAATGAAAAATTGTTCTACTTTAATACCACAGAGGAAAATTTGCCTTGCCCACATCTAAATTCTGATATTCATGAAGACAAATTCTCCTGCCACCCGGCAAACATTGTAGTTTAGATGCACAATGTCTCCCATAGGTCTGCGATCACCAGTGGGTGATGCTGTTGTAGGAAGCTGGGGAGCCTGTGTAAGCCAGAAGGAACAAATGTGTGAGTGTATCAGTCAGGGTCTTCTAGAGGAACGGACCGGTAGAAGGAATATGTAGCAAAAGGGATTTATTAGATTGGCTTGCATGAAATGGTGAGGCAGCCCAGAGATGGCTGCACACTGGAGAAGCCCTGTAATTGTTCAGTCTGTGAGTCTGGGCCCCTCAGCAGTTCCAACCTCCACTAAAGGCCTGGGGGATTCTGGGGAGCCATTGATCGAAAGCCAAAGAAACTGGATCCTGGAATAGCAAAAAATATGGTGGTGGTGGCCAAAGCAAGAGCAAGAGAGACCATTCCCCAGCAAGGGTGTTAGCAGGAAAGCAAACCTCACAGGATTTCCCTCTTTCCATCCGGGCTGCTGCTAGAAGGGACTACTTCCCACTCAGGTCACTCCTTCCTGGGAACAGTCTCACAAACCCGCCCTGAGGGCGTCTCTCAGTGATTCCAGCAATCAGATTGACAAGTGAGGGGTGGGCCTTAAGAGTTGGAGCTTAGCTAGCCCTGCCAATGGCCAAGCCTCTTCTGCCTCCTGGTCCGCTGACACGTAAGACATCCTACTTACCTGCTCCTGTACCCAGGGTAAGTTTTTCTCCCCTGTCTTGATGGACCGCACTGTGAGACAAAGTCAGTCCTCCCTCCCCGGGCTGTTTCTGTGACGTTTGTAACAGTAACAAGATGGCTAATTACATGGCCCCTAACACAATCCTTTTACGATGATCCTAGCCGGTTGCGGGAGCAGGAGCTTGATCCATTTAGCCAATGACATTTGGAGGTCATCTGCCATGGGCATGGTTTTTCCTGATACATGAGCGTCTGATGCACCATTTGGTGACCAGGTCCGGAGCTTTCTCCATCTTTCCACGGTGGAGACGTCACTTCCTACTGTATCCATAGATGTGTGTGTTCCCCATTTCATCCCTTAATAAAGAAGTTTTCTCCCCAAGCATCCGTGGGTTTCTTGCAGTACTAGTCCCACCCCTAGGATGGCCTCTCCTTGCCCTGGAGAGCAGGTTTGCTGCCAGTGGGCGCCCGTCAGCATTTGCACCTTTGATGCTCAGATGAGACACGCTCTAAACCCGAATCCAGGCTCACAGCCTCCAGCGTCATGTTTCCGAGAAGAGGAATGCTATAGTTAAATACCCCTCAAGGGCCTGTGTGGTAGACGTGGCCATGAGCTTGCAATGTCGTTGACAGTAGAATCTTGAGGTTGGGCCTCCTAGGAAGAAGTTACTTCCGGGGCGTGGCTCCTACCATGCTGTCCTATCTCCCCACAGGCCCCAAAGCAGCAGGGTCCAATGATCATAGCCACTTCACTGTTACTCAATGTCTACTAGTTATGTAATAGCTCTAAATTATTGTGTAAAAATTTTGGCTCATCTTGAACTTTTAGTTGTATTTTGGTGTGAGGAAAATAGGAACATTCACACATACTCTCGCTGGTGTATCTGAGTGACTTGAAATAGAGATTTGCAAGGCTCACATGGCTATGAGTACACATTCATCTCCTCTGACCCACTTTCCTAGCTTGGGTGTGTTCGGACCACAGGTCATGCTCAGACTTGTAAGGACTCAGAAGGTGTGAGGGATAAAAGGCAGGGTTCACCTGAGGTAGGCATCACTTCAGGTCCCCTGGCACCAACGAAGCAACTCCAACCGACTAGGTCAGTTGACAGGAACTGTTGTGGGTGTGGTGGGATACAGGAAGCTACTGCCGTGAGCTCACGCAGATCACCAAGCAGCCGTCAGACAGTAGTAATGGCTTTTGATTTAAGGTTGAAGGAAGCAGTCCCTGGGGCCACTTACTCTGCTACATCATCCTGTTTGGGAAAGGCTCTCAAGTAACTGCTGGGCAGACCGAGAGGATGAAATTCACCGAGGAAAACAGGCATGAAGTCAAACCTCTCCGATGTGCTCATTAGCTGTGGACTGGCTTGTGGGAGAACACATTTTCTATATCAATTACAGAGAATGTTCATTTATTCAACCCTTTCTTATGCCCACCTGCCTATTTCTGTCTTTATCTCCTCTGCCTCTTCATGTCTACACACACACACACCCCAGTTCATTGTCAGCAAGCTTCTTTACCTCTTAGAAAGAACTGTGTGTTCTGATGGAAGTAGTCTTGACCTCTAACCTAGATCAAATAGCAGGGTTCCTTCCGGGCTTGGCCACTCTGCAGTCTCTGATCGCCTTCCCTCACCCCCAGGGAGGAAGCCTTTGCTGTCCTGCGAGGGTTAGGTGCTGGCAGCCTCCCCAGGGAGGGAAGGTGGTGGGGTCATGTCTTCAGGCAGATATTCGGATTGTGAAACCAAATGTAGCCTGCTCTCGGCTGCTCACTGCCCTGCAGTGGCAGCCTGGCAGAGGTTCAGAATGACTTGTTGTGGGCTAGGGTTGAGGCATTTATCTCTCCCTAGACAAAGAAGAGCATCCTCTTGCCAAACTGATTCATTCCTGCTGCCGTTAAGGGCCCTGTCGTGGTCCTGCTCCTGAAGCAGCTGCGGGTAACACAGGAGCATCGCTTGAGAGCTCTCCTTGTGCCAATCAGAGAGCAGCAGGCACCAGGGAAAAAAATCAATAAGCAAATACTGGATCTGTGCCCTTGTTGAGCCCCTCCAAATCTTACGTGTTGTTATAAAACCTAACTATTCCTGGGGTGCTCATTACAGTATGAAGTCATAGAAAGCTAGATTAACGTGGCAGGGTGCCTGTCAAAACAGCCATCAAGTCAGTCATGGTAGTCCATGCCCGGCTGGGGCTGGAAAAGGATCACAAGTTTGAGGCTATCCTGGCCTACAGAGAGAGGTGGGGAGGGAGGGAGGGAGGGAAGGAGGGAGGGAGGAAGGGAAGGAGAGAGAGAGAGAGGAAAATGATCCAGCAAAACAGCTCAGGGTGGAAGCCGGAGCCTTAAGACTGATGCCCTGAATGTGATACCGCATGTGAACTGAGAGAATGGACTCCATATGCATGCCATGTGAGCCCCCCACATGTGCACACAATAGATAAAGAAATAAAATGTACTAAAATTTTAAATATATATTTAGAAAACCAAGGAAAACAATTTGAACAATCAACCAACCCAAGTCTGTGTTCAAACATTCCCTCCAGCCTCTCTACCCCACTCCATAGCTACACACGTAGGAACCAGAAACGCCAAGTGGTGAGGATGGCAATGCAGATGTGCAGTCCCTTGTTCTGGTGTCCTTTGGGAGACTCTGGTGGGACCGACATGGAGGGATGAAGCCTTTCAGTGGGGAGTAACCTGAGGGCTGCTGTGTAGGAGCAGAAGAACCTCAACTGCCCGTGGGAGAAGGTGGGCGATCTTGAGAGACACGGGGTGAGAAGGCAGATGGTCTTGAGAGACACTGAGCACTGCAGGTGATACCTGGGGCACACAGCACACGTGAGATGTGACAAGAGCCTAAATCCATCAGGGTCAGTAGAGAGAAGGGATTTTCACCAAAACCTGAGAATTTAGCCTCCTTTCCCCAAATTCGGACTCTGTTTCTCCTAAGGATGCGCCCCCCACTCTTCCTGGAGATTCAGAGACAATCACAGGCTCCTAGTGAGTAGGGTACGGGCTTCCTGGAGATCTGGACTTTGGAAATCCCTAAATGCTACCCCAGTGTTCTAGTCACAGTAGAGATGACAAGCCCTTCACCTGAGAAAGCCACTCATCACTTGGAGAGGGCAGCGCACCGGAAATGCAATAAGCCTTGCTGTCTTCAGTCGGCCGTGAAATGAGCGCTTGAGAGACAGTGAGCTGATGTAAACACTCACTGTGACTGCTTGGCTTTGAAGGGAAGGCCGGGGAGAAAGAGTGAGTGTCCTCCAATCATAGGCTGCGGTTGGACATAATTAAATTATAGTTTTTAACTGGGCAAGCACTCATGGGGGCCTTATTATCTTTAAAATGAATTGCCTTCTGATTGTTAGTGTGCAGATATGATACACTGAACCGAAACTATTTCAATAAAACATTTTTTTTTCCAGGAGCTATAGAAGAATCTCTAGGTCAGACAAGGTAAACCATTAGGAATAAATGCTGACTCTTAATTTTCCATTGTAACTAGGAACAAGAAGGAATGAGTAAGGGAAAAGTTTCAACTGTACTCTCCTGTGTTCCCACGTTTACCTGAGCTGTTAGCGGACAGCTGTCCTGACCCTCGGGGACAGAGTGCTTGGATCTGGTGAGCAGTGGTCGTGTCTGTGTGCTTCTATCCCGAGCTAGGATTCCTTGCTGCTGTTAAGATCACCGATGACCTCCGCCAGGATGCCTAAGGTCTGAGCAGGACCACAGGCTTGTGATCTCTCAGATGGAGCTGGCAGTTCTACCTCCATCTTGAGCCCACCCTGAGAAAAAAAAAAGATCACATGACTGTAGTTATCCGAGAGCCCCATGGCAAGAAGCCTTCTGAATACTATAATTAGCGTTATGGTTAAGTATTGCTTGGATTCTCTGCTTCTAAATACATGCGTTAGATGAGCAAGAAGTCAATTTTCTCTGAAGCGAGACTGAAATTTGAAAATCATGTAGTTCATGATTTGTGAATCTAGGTAAACAACCCATTCATATATTTTTTATCACCACATGGACTATTGACAACAAAATTTGACTTAAAATGTTTATTTCTAGGACTGACTAGAATCTTAGTAATAATGCCAATGAGAAGTATCTAAAAGACTCCATCTGACGGTTTTTCACGACAACTAAATTTCTTTATAATGCCAGTCCATACTTAGGCTGAGAACCACCACCCATACTCCTGAGAAATAACACACAAGGTTGACCTGTGACCTCTGCATCTGTGCACATACACACAGACAAAGTAAGCCAATAAGGTCTACTTCGTACGATGGCTTTCAAGACTAGACCAGACATTAATGTGTCTGGCCTCCAGGTTGACATTCAACAAATGTAGTTACCATATGTCTCTGCTCTGCCGTGCACCAGCTCTTTAACCGTAGGCAAGCAGCTGAGCGTTTCTTCATATATAAAAGAGAACAATATCTGTTATACTTAGCTCACGATGTGGCTATAAAAGTCGGCTAGAATTGCATGCTGAAGGCTATTGCTGCTCTGCACAGGGCCACACACACATAAAGCGTTGATGAGATCACATTAACGGTTTGAAGCTTTGAGTGAGCGATGCGATGGACCGAGATCTAAGCCCCAGCAGCACCTCGCCTGCTGTCCTACCATTTGCAATGGGCATGTGAGCACCGGTGTCTGACTCATGAAGACGGGTCAAGGACACAAATGTAGGTACTACCGCCCCTTCCCGACTCTCTGCTAAAATTTTACCATCAAACCCCTAGTTTTATAGTTATTAACTTTTCACCATTATGATTCTAGACTGGGCAACCTGGCTTTGACAGCATCCTGAATAAATAGACCTAGATTCTGGGAAGGGCTCATGTCGTCCAAGCCCACAGTCATCTATATATATATATATATCATTGGAATAGCTATTAATTTATGGTGAGGAGAGTTGCCCCCAGGAAATGCAGAAGGAGCTAGTTAAATATTTTGGATGTCTAGTGACTTTAGGCTAAGGTGACACTAAGTACTCATTCCCACAGAGGAGATACTCTGTCTTAAGGAAGACACAGTGACAAGGCTGCACTCACTCTTCACTCTTAAATGGATAGCGTCCTTTCAGAGACTCTCCCCTTCCGGCATGACTAAGGCTGTCAGTGCCTTCCTAACTTCTTAATAGTCCAACCCTTTCGTGATTCTGCAATGCCTCCAGCTGTGTTAATGTCAAGGCTCAGTAGCCATTCTTTATCTTCAAGAGAGGTTTTGGTTTTTTTCCGGTACTGGAGATACATCTTAGAGCCTCATTCGACCACAAAACAACATCCTCGCCGGGCGGTGGTGGCGCACACCTTTAATCCCAGCACTCGGGAGGCAGAGGCAGGCGGATCTCTGTGAGTTTGAGGCCAGCCTGGTCTACAAGAGCTAGTTCCAGGACAGGAACCAAAAAGCTACGGAGAAACCCTGTCTTGAAAAAATCAAAAAAAATCCTCAAATCCAAGTAGATATTTTCAAAGGGTTAGCCCACCTGCGGAGGATCATTTGGATACATCTTAAAAGAATAAAACTTATACCTCCCCAGATCTCCTAAGTAAAACTCCCTACCGGTAGGATCTAGAGACCTGCACTTTAATCAGATTATAGATATCTTATACAGAGTGGTGTGAGGACTGGGGGTTCCTTTTCACAGTTCTGCTCATGGCAAAACATGTGGACTTCTGGAGTTCCGTGTACTGGTGCTCCTCAGGTCCTGGTTCACGTGGTGGCTCCTTAACATCACTTTGCATTAGTCATGAAATAGACTGTGAACTCAACATCTGTATCCTCTCTCCCTATTCAAATATCATAATATTTATTCTCAGAGAGATCATGTTAGGAGGTGTAGCAGGTCGTGAGGATGCAGAGCTTCTGAATGCGGTTGGTACCTTATAAACAGAACAATGAGTGTTCTCTGTTCTTTCTGCAGCGAGAAGCTGGCAGTCTGGAAACTGGGGGGACAGACAAACCTGATGCGATGTTGCAGTGTCCAGGACTGAGCACCAGTATCTCCGCCACCACCCGCTAAAACAGCCCGAGAAGGCAAGGGACCCTGCACTAGCACAAAGGCTGCTCCTCCAGACTTACACCTGCTTAGGAAAACTCAATGCTAACTCTAAGTCTGGGTCAAAGCCAGTTCTCCACTCTTTATTTTGGGAAGAGATCATCTGACACTATTATTTCTGGTGGCGGAAACAGAAATGGAATTTGTTTGATGTGGAGTCTCACTACACAAATTACATACTTTATTATCATCTATAGGAAGCAAAAGGAATGCATTTTAAGAAACATTTCAGACTTATATTTGTTGTTGTTGTTGTTGGTGGTGGTGGTGGTGTGTGTACATGTATGTGTGTGTGCGTGTGTTTGTGCATGTGTGTGTACATGTATGTGTGTGTGTGTGTGTGTGGTTTAGTACTCACCACACCGTGCAGGTGGAGGTCTGAAGAGTTGGTTTTTGCTGTCCACATGTGATCCCAGAAATTGAGCTCAGGCTGTCAGGATGGACAGCAAGCATCTTTACCCACGGAGCCCTCTCACTGGCCCAGGAATACCCTTTGAGTGGAAATTGGTACGTTGAGAATCACGGTAGCTCGGCGGGGCTTCAGCAGGGTGTGCTTGACTCCTGTTAGCTATGTCACACTTGGAGAAGGGAAGCATGAAGTGCAGCCGGTGCCCAGCCAGTAGGACCAGGAACACCGTTAAACTCTCCTCGAAGCACAGGACAGTCCCTACAACCACGCATCATCTGGCTGCAAATGTCAGCAGTGCCAGGCATGGTCCAGCTTCCTCGTGCTGTTTCCACCCTAGTGGGTGGCTGCCCTTTCAGGCCCAGGGCTTGTCTGTGCCCAGCAGTCTGCAGAGAAAATTTAAAGGACTGGACCATATTAATGTCGAAGGAAAAGAATGAATTCACATGAAGGCTTGCCTTTCGCGTACTAGGAGCTCCATAAAAAATATTTTAATTAAACAGTGAATAGATTAAAACATTAATTTCACATGTGTTTTAATAAATAACAAGAAGATGGCTTCTCACATATATATAACTCGCCCTCATCCTGAGTGGACTGCCAGATGATCGCATGCATTTTCCCTCTGAATGGATCCAGTGACAGTGCCTTTCACAAAGAAAGGAGAGTGGGTTTCAAATGCTGAATATGTGGTGCTGAAAACGCCAGCCCCATCCAACCCCCAGGTTTATTTAAAGAATTCGAAGAGTTTCAGGGAAAAAAAATCACATGGCTTCAAGGTTAATGTGTAAGATTTACAGAAACTGAAAAAAATTACAGCCCAAAAAAGAAAAGTATGAACTTCCTGCGTGCCTCTAAATTAGAACGAGAGCTCAAGCAGGTTAATTATAAAAACCCTAATTTAATAGCTTCTCTATCTGCTTCCCGCTACAACCAGCATTTAAACCAGTAACATTTGAGGAGAAATTATAAGTAAGGGACGTTCTGAGCCAAATTTGCTTTATTATGCACACCCAGGTCAAATGCTGAATGTCCTGTCTGCAAATTGGGCACTTAGATAGTTTAATAGTCGTGAAGAGAGTGGAATAGAAGGAGAAGCGTACGACAGGGTTCAATTGTAAGAGCATCAATAGTTGTGAATGATCAGGGAGACCACACAAAGAAGATAAAAGAGCCAGTAGCTAGGGACGAGAGATGGCTCAGTAGGCAAAGTGTCTACTGTGTAAGTCTGTAGACCTGAGTGTGAATCCCTAGCACCACGCAAAGGCCAGATGCAGCAGTGTGTGCCTGTAACCCCAACACTTGGATTGGGGAGCTAGGTGGAATCCAGGGAGCTTGTTTGCCAGCCAGACTTACAGAATCAATAAGCTGTAGCAAATCCTGTTTCAAAAATTAAGTGGAGAGCCATGGAAGAAGATCCCGGACTAGACAAGGCTATGTATATGCCTACCTGCAAGTTTGCATGCCCACTTGAACATGTACGTATCACACACACACACACACACACACACACACACACACAGATCCACCTACCTCTGCCTCCCGAGTGCTGGGATTAAAGGTGTGAGCCACCATCGCCCGGCTCTGATATATCTTACTGATCACAGCAAATGCTTCAGCTCCAGCTAAGAAGAACCACAGATATGTAACGGCCCCAACTGAGTCATTATGTGACTCTCAAGCCTCCCCTCTGGGACGTCACATGCCAAGCCTCCATCAGCTGTATTTCTCTCAGCACTTATCTTTCAAGAGCCCACAGAACTCTCACCAAGCTCTGAATGCTCAATGCCTTTTCTAGCCCCAAGTTTTAAAATCTGTCTATCATGCCCTTGCCTCCATTCGGGTCTATCACAGCAATACCCCAATCCTGGTACCAATTTCTGTCTTTATTAGCATTACTGTTGCTGTGATGAAATACTGTGACCGGAAACAACTTGGAGAAGAAAGGGCTTATTTCATTCACAGTTCCGTATCATACATCATCCTGGAAAGCAGTCACAGCAGGAACTCAAGCAGAGCAGGAAGCTGGGTACAGGAGCTAATGCAAAGGCCATGGAGGGGTGCTGCTTACCGGCTGGCTCTTCACAGTTTGCTCGATCTGCTTACAGGCTTGCCTACAGACCAATCTTACGGAGATATTATCTCAATTGAGGGCTCCTCCTCTCAGATGACAGTAGCTTGTGTCAAGTCAGCCATAAAAATAGCCAGCACCTCAGGGCATTTTAACACAGCAACAGGAAGAAAACGTAGGGCAGAGTTCAAGGCCAGCCTGGGCTGCATGGGAGCATGACTCAAAAACCTCCAAAATACAAATATAAAATCGAAATTCCAAATTCTACACTTTTCAGCTCAGGAAACAGGGACATATGCTCAGTAAATTGTTCCAGAACTCAGGCTGTCCTGGTACCGAAGCTCCTTAGCACAAATGCAGGGCTCCGGTCTTCCTTCTGAACGCTCCTCCTGACACTTGAGTGCATTTGTCCGCAGGCCAGTCTTATTTACACATCCATGCCTCCCTCTGTGCCCTAAGCTCATCCATCTTCAACCTCTAATGCCTTCAGCCCAATAGATGTTGGGTGAATGAAACTGAGATTTTCTGGTAACAGTCTGCTCCACTCTGAGATTGTTGACTTACATCAGTGGTCCTCAACCTTTGGGGCCAAATGACTCTCTCAGAAGTCGTTTGGGACCACTGGGAAGCACAGACATTTATGTTATGATTCATAACAGTAGCAAAGTTATAGTCATGAGTAGCAACAAAAATAATTTTATGGTTGGGACCATCACACCATGAGGAACTATAATAAAGGTTGCAGCTTTGTGGAAGGTTGAGAACACTGGCTTACATGAACCAGCATAGTATATGATTTGTCTTTAAAATTATTTTTTAAACATATGTTCTTCCCACATATAAATGTTCCATAAATGTTATTAAAACCCAATTACATTCTGCCTCCTGATTAGGTTTCATCAATGTACCATGATGAGCTCTACACACCAATTTCTTAAACAGATACATGTGTGAAAATTTGGAACATGTAAGAGCCCAAATGTAATTTAGTTAATATTAGTTTTTCTTTTTTTGTTGTTCTTTTTTAAAATAACATTTTCTCTTATTCTAATAGTGATTCTCATTAATCATCTAGGGTATTAATCTAATACCCTAGAAACTAGTAAAAAATAAAATGAAAACGGCCCAAAATTGTACCATAAATTCTAATTTTTTTTTTTGAGCAGATTCTCGTGTAATCCAGGTCTCTAACTGGCAATATAGCTGAGGGTAGCCTTGAAATCCCACTCCTCTCCTTGCCATCTGGGTTAAAGGTGTGTAGTGCTGTGTTCTGTTTGCCTAATGGGGACTGAACTCAAGGCCTCATTGCTAGCCAGGCTAGAACTCTACCAACCATGGTCCCTGGTTTCTCCCCAACTCTTCAGGAATAAACGCAAGGGACACAGTGTAGTAGCAAAGGGTAAGGTTTTGAGAAGCATGGCTGACTTGAATTATCTCGCTGGACAGTTGCTTGATGAGGTGATTTTGCAGATGGTACAAGTCAGAGGTAAATTATTTGCCAATCAGGCACAGCAAGTAGGGGCTTGGCGAGATGTTGGAACCAGATTTCTCATCTCGAGCACCGGCTAAGGGGGAAGAGCTGAGATCCAGCGCTCTCTGCCTAGAAGGTCGTTTCCTTCATTACTACAATAAGCCACATGGTAAGTCTCAAGGGGGTTTTCGTTCTCCTAATATGTCTCTACTGTATTCAGAATCTGATAAAGGCCTTATTAGCATTCATCTCTTTCAGAAGAAAGGGAGCCGTGGAACTAAAGAGAGGGTTGGAATAATCCATTAATTATATCCGTTAGGCTTCAGTTACAGCTAACAAGGAATATCACGTGACTGCGGTGTGCGCTTGTTCCGAACAATACAGAACACGAAGACAGATAAGATTCAGGGCAAGCATGTCCTTCAGCAGCACCCTGTCGGCAGCGGGGATGAAAGTCATTAAAAGAAAAATTGATTGAGGTATTTTAGTAAACAAAAGAGCTCCCTGCTTCCCCGCCAGGAAGTGTATTGTTAGCGCCTTGCTGCGGCTCAGTCTGCTGGAGAACGCGTGTCGCTCCTCTCTTTAGCCTTATTCTTTCCCTGTCACTTCTCAAACAAAATTAAAAAAAAAAAAAAAGATTGAAGACGATGGTCCTGTTTTATTTGCTTCAAAAGAAACAGGCTGTCGGATTGTGCTCAGACAGTTTACTCTGGCCTTGACGCGTGTGAAAGCGAGCCCTGAAGTGGCGAGGAGGAGCCAGGAGGGCCTGGAGCTAAGAGGAGGAGCAGAGCAGGCAGGAAAACAAAGGCCGCGCGGTAAAAGTGAATAACTTCGGCAGTTCTGCAGTTAATGCAACCTCCACATCGTTCCTCCGGTACTGCCTGACCTGCTGGCTGCAGCGGCACCAGGGTGCTGTGTGGGCATGGCCGCTCTGTTATCTTTATTTTACATTATTGAAGTTTTACTCTTGCACTTATAGTACCTTAGGGTTATACTGACTATAATGTTTATTAAGATAAGGAGTATTATACACCTGGAATATTTCTGTATTTGGGGCTGAACTACAACACATTTTAAATCTAAATTAAATTTGTTTTTGAGACCAGGTCTCACTGTGTAGCCTTGGCTGACTTGGAACTCATTCTGTGGACCAGGATGACTTCAAACTCATAGAGTTCCACCTGCCTCTGCCTCTCAAGTGCTGGAATTAAAGGCGTGTGCCACCATGATTAGCTGGAATATTCTCTGAACATAAGTGTTAGGATGCAGTAAAAATTAAAACAGTGAAAATTAAAAATTCTCACTCCAAATTGCATGTCAGATTACCATGCAGGACTGAAAAGAAGCGTCTGTGTGGGGTTGGAGGGGGTCAAGGGAGATCAGTTAGCAGGGATTTTATCCATGAGTGGGGGGAGTGGGAGCTGGAAACCAGATGGAAGATGTTTTGTAGAGTGGTTTTCCTGTACTGGTAGATGAATCCCATGCTATCCCACGGACACGCAGGAAAGGCCTACCATGGCCCCCAGGCGAGTTGGACAGGGACTTCACCAAACCTAATAGTCTAATTGTGAAAACTGTCGCTTAGAGGTCCAGTTTCTCCTTCCCTGCTCTGAGAACGGTGTCTATGATGGCCTACATGACGAACCTTCAGGGGTGTAGACTTTGGTATGGTCCAATGGGTCCCCGAAGATGGCGCAGTTTCCTGTTGGCTTTATTAGTTTTGTTTCATTTGTATGAGTGTTTTGCTTGCATGTATGCATGTGCGCATGCGCCATGCGCATGTCTGGTACCAAGGAAGGTCAGAAAACAGCGTTAGATCCGCTGGGACCTGGGTCCTCAGCTGAGCCTTCTCTCCAGTCTAGGATGCAGTCAGTTCTACACA